CCAGAGCCCAAACCATTAGAAGCAGTGACTGATCCACCCATCAGCCCTCAGGCTTCTCACCCTTCACCAGAGGTACTGAGCAGCTGCTTTGCCCCAGAACATCCCCTCCCTAACTGCAAATTGCAGCCCTTAGAGAGGGGATGGCAGCTCCAGGGATACAGGAACACAACCAACACCCCCAGCTCCATCAGTGCTACGTGGAAAAAAAATCTCCTGCAGGAACCAGCCCCGCTGTCAGAGCCCTGAGAACTCGCGAGTACTTTCCAAGTCAAAAAGGCTTTTAATTAAACAGCTTTTTGGGGGCAGAACAGGTATTTTCAGCAGCTGCTGAAAGATGCATTAAGCTACAACCTCAGGCAGCACTTCAGAAGTTGTTCCAGATTGCAAGTGCTGCGTTTCATGCTCCATGAAATATGGATTACAACGCACTCCGGAAGGGACAGGGGTTCACCCCTTAGTGGAGATCAAAGGAGGCTTTGCTGCTTTGGAAGACTCCAGGTGCTGCCTTCCCCCAACGCTGCACAAACCCACAGATCCATTCCTGACCCCACAAAAGTCCCCACCAGCTCCTGGTTGCCTGGGGCTGGGGAAGCGGGCTGGAAGAACCGTGGGATGGGAAGCAAAGGACCAAATGCTGCCCTGGCAGCAGGTGCAGGATGCACCACCACAGCATGAGCCTTCAAAACCTTCAAAAAGGTGTGAGGGGGTAGGGCAAAAAATGAAAATAAAAATAAAAGGGACAGAAAAGAAGGATGGCCAAGCAGCTGAGAAAGATGGTTCAATATTTAGTCTGTCGTCTGTGCAGTTTGATTTAACCAGAGGCCAAAGCCGTGCATGGAGCAGCTCCAGTGCTGCTGTAATGTGGGATCTGCACAACCCAGGAGGGGTAACCCAGGAGCAGCAGTGCCTGCTGGCACCTCGGCCTTTGGGAAGTGAAAGCCACTTAGAGAAGGAACAAATATCTGAGCTTGGGATAAGCCTAAAGATTAAACAGGTCCGGAAATGCTGAGTGGTGCAAGAAAGAATTTGTGGGAAGAGGAGAGATTTGTGGTTAAGCCTCCTGTTCCCACAGGGCCGGCTCGCTGCAGTACTAGTTAGTCCAGCCTTTGACTATCTTTGGCACTTATAGAAGAGCCACTGGTGTGTGGATTTGATTTGCATTATAATGGACTTATGCTACCAGACAAACAAGTCTCTGTCCTAAGGGGCTTCCACAGGTATGAACCTTCTCCCGTGGCTCAAAGATCCACTGCACAAGCTTTGTTTGGTGCAGAAAGGGCTCCTCATCCACCCCAGGGATGAGATCCTCCCAGGCTTCTGGGTGGGAACAGCATTGCAAGGCCCTGGTTACGCAGCAGCATCAGATAGGGGAATGGAAATGGCAGATCTGACTTAATGAAGAGCTGTTGGAGAGGAAAACCTCTCCAGCTCACAGTTGTTTTCAATGACACGCTCCAGGGGAACGCTAACAGGCCAATCTTACACCCCTGTGGTGCTCAGAGCCTTGCTGCTTGTTTACCACGGGGTGCCTGAGGCTGAGCTGCCCGAATCACACCAGGTCTACGCTCGGGGCTGAGCTCTGCATTTCACTTTCTTCCAAAGGGGCCGAGCAGTGAATTCAGTGAATCACGACTTCAAGCACTCAGGGCTCTGAGGGGCTCAGCTTTGCTTGCACGCCACCGAGAGTCAACATGTAAAACCAACTCGACACCAGGGCGAGAGGAAGGGAACGATCCTTGAGACCGGAGCGAGATGTTTGCTCTTCCACATCGGATATCTGCAAACCCCTCTCACCCCAGGAAGCCCGACTGGGTCAAGTGGGCGAGGGGCACTGCAGCCCCCCGGCCCCCCCCCCCCGCGTTTAGGGCCGCGCTCTCCCGGCATCGGAGGTTCTGTAGCACCGCTGTGGTCCCGGTTGTACCGGCGGGACGGAACCGGAGTCGGTACCGCTGCCGAAATAACAACGGAGAAACGCAGGACCAGCTCTTACCAGCTTGCCGGAACGCTCCCGTGCTTTCTTCACCTTCCCATACGTTCCCTTCCCCAGCGTTTCCAAGAACTCGTAACGATGCTTGAGGTTGTGTTTGTGGTGATGCCGTTTCACCGCCTGCTTCTTCATCAGCGGTCGGGGCGATTTAATGAACCCCTCGACCAGCGAGGTGCCCCCGGGCCCCACCGCCGCCCGCTCCATGCCGCGATTCTTCCCGGCTCCGCCGCCCGCCCCGCTCCTAAATGCGGCTTCCCCGACGGCCGCGCCTCCCTTCGCCCATTGGCCGCCTTGCAGCCCGCCCCGACCGGCTGTCGGTGCGGGGATGGGGGGGGCACGGGGCTGGGCAGGTGCAGGGGGACCCCCGGAACCTTTGGGATGAAGGGGGGATGGGTGGGGGGGGAGTGTAGACGGGTGCGGCAGCGTGGCAGAGGTGTAAAGGAAACAGTTGGGTGGGATGAGAAGTGGGGTCCCGCTTAGCACGGATGAGCTGAAGGGGATGTGGGGTGATGGTTGTACCCAAAAGGAGCGGTGGGGGGGTCAGGGTGGGGGGGAGGGTGCGCAGCAAAGCGCCCGGGTGCGAGAGGAGGAGGGATGCATGGCTACGGGGGAGGGATGCACGGACAGCCACAGCCACACACAGAACAACGACAGATCTGGCTTTCTTTCAGAATATAAACCAGCCTACAACCGCGTATTGAGGGCAAAATGAAAGAGAGGAGAGGCCAGGGAGGCAAAACCACGGACCGGTGCTCAGCCCTGCGTGCAGTGAGGGATCCGTGGGGGGAACGGAATGTCTGCATGCTGCCCCAATAGAAATTCATTGTCCGGACGTTTCTGGTTAACTCGGCAGCACCTCCCCGTGTGGTCTTTTTCTTTTTGCCCCTGTGGTAATTCTTTGTTTTGAGATATTAAAAGAATGCGACGATCTCTCAGAGAAGCCCAAACAAAAGCTCTTGCCCAGTTCTGGCATGTGTGAGGACACACCGTATCGATGGAAGAAAGAGATAACTGCGGCATTACTCATCAGACCTGGGTTTTCCCATCGCTTCCAGCAGCTCGGGGCAGACGGGGTGAGGCAAAAGCGGGGGCTCATGTGAAGGATGAGAGCGCAGCCCCGGCCCCTCGCTGCAGGCTTTGTGTCCCTGAGCACAGAGATATCGGCTGTGCCGTCCCGTGTCTGGATGAGAAGCAAAGCAGAGCTCCTGGACTCGCAGGCTGGGTACCAGAGTGCTGGGTTAGAAAGGTGCTGCTGAAGGCATCCATAGCACAGCCCTAGAAACGGGTGCTGAAGTGGAGACGTGGGACGCAGCCATGCACACATCGCTGCAGCCCCAGGACTCAAAGGATCTTGCACCCTTGCTTTGTATCACCAGCGGCTGTATGGAACCTCACCAGGCAATGGAGCAAAGGGCTTTTTTGCAGATTCCCACACTTCCTCTCCACCCCAAAGCTGAGCCCCAGGTTTAACATCAGCCATCTCTCACCTGTGCTGGGCTGGGTTGGGTGCCCTGATGGCATCCTGCACCAAAGCAGAGTGGCACCAATGAATTATTCACAGTAACAGGAGCTGCATTTCGATCTGCGGGCGGCCAGCAGAGCCCATAGGGGAGACAAACAAAGCGCAGATGAGATTAACTAAACTGCTGTAATTTCGATGTCAAAGTAAACAGATCGGATCCTGTTCAGGCACAGCCCAGGGATTGCCTTCGAGTGGAAGGGGAAGAAGCAAAGCTCCCTGTTGCAATAGAGCACAAAATGTCTCTAGTGGAGGTGAAAGCTCCTGCACAGCTGTAGGATCGCTCAGGGTTTGCCCAGCGGCCCAGGAAGCACTCGAGCACGATTTAGCCTTAAGCACACGTTTAATGTCCTCTTGATTTACAAGGATGCCTTCCAGAGGCTTTCCCCGGGATGAAAGGAAATGACTCGGGGTTGCTTCTCTTTCTGTTTCTAGCAGATAAATTCCTCTCCGCGGTTCTCCTCGCTGACACTCAGCCGAGGTATGCTTTTGTTCCAGGCTCCCTCAGGAAGCCCTTTTTAATGGAAATGTCAAGAGACACAGATCTAAGTCGGCTGGAATCCGCCGATAAGGATCCCTTATTGTGGCCTTCTGTATCACCGCTGCTTCCTCAGCGGAGGGGAAACCCACGGAAAATCCCCAACCCCATCCACAGCCGTCCCAGCTCTGCTCCCTTTGCAGCAGCACGGAGCGCTGCGTGTCTGCTAACACCGACATGAAAGTCAGGCAGGAATTTGGCTCTGTGTCAGGTAAACCTCAAAGGCAGTCGGATCGACCCGATGCTTCGTAAGGATGAGAGCTTGGTTCTCTTCCAGCCTGCTAGGCTTTGTTATTATTATTATTACCGTTGTTGTTAGCGTTTGGATTATTATTTCTTCATTCTAAATTGATGTTACAGCACTGCCTGTGTGTTAGAAACATCCTTGCCGTGGTCGGAATATGAAGACCCACGTACAGCAGTCAGCACTCCGATAGGGAAAGGTGCCCTGCCAGGCGTCACAGAGCCAGAGGCAACAAAAAGGCCAACGATCGCCTCTCATTAGTGGCCTCCCGCTGTGGGGCTGCTCGGGTAGATGCGGAACCCATCCCTCCTCCAAAAACACCGAAGAAAGGGGTTTTGCTCTGGGCGCCCCATCCATCAGCAGAAGAAGGGAAACGCATTAAGCAGCAAACGGGAGCCTTTGGAAAAGGAATTGATGACACATCGAATGCCACCATTGCAGCACAAGGGCCACCTCTGCACCTGCACCCACCGCAGCTGCCTGGTTTATCACCCCCCATCCTCTGCTCAGGCCATCCAACCATCCATCCTGTTGACTCTCTGTGTCAGCTTTGTGCCCAGGATGGGTGGCTGGAGGATCGTTCTGCACAGCACCATTGGTCCCATGCTGAGCTGTTCGAGCTCCTGCTGTGTGTAGCCAGATATGCTGCAGACAGGGATGGATCATGGAAAGCACAAATCCCACCCCAGCCAGCCAGATGAGCAAAGAAAAATGCATTGCTCTGAGCAGCTTTATGTACAGAAGTTTAAGAAGTGAAGAACATCCAGAAGAGAAATAAAAGTAGGGGCAAGGGCTGAGCTACCAGCAATGGGCCGCCCATAGGGCTGCAGAAAAGCTGAGCTGTTTCTAACAAAAATAAGCAAACTCCCCTCCAAAAAAGCTGGAAGCCTTTGTATCTCATGGTTGTGACTCAACGTCCACTGCATGTGGGCACAATGGGAGGCTGTGTCTGCTGGTGGCTGGGCAGGGATGTCACTGGGGTTGGGGAGCTGATGGGGGCACAGTGGTGACAGTGACAGATGGACCCCAGTGCCCAGTGGAGGAGCTCCACCCCAGCTTTCTCAGTGGATGCCCCATCCCTGAAGGCATTCAAGGCCAGGCTGGATGTGGCTCTGGGCAGCCTGGTCTGGTGGTTGGCGACCCTGCACACAGCAGGGGGGTTGAAATGAGATTTTCACTGTGGTCCTTTTCGGGTCATTCTGTGATTCTATGATTCTAGGAAGTAGTGTGACAGCATTCACACACAACTCCACGCTGGGTCCCCATTTGGGGAGGGTTGGTCGATGAGCAAAGGGAGCGCTGACCCCAGGGATGGTCTCCCTGTGAGCAGGAGCAGAGCAGCACACTGCTGTGCACGCTACGGGTCTGACACGAGACACAGGAGCTCTGCAGGCAGATCTCTGCTCTGCAGCCAGACATAAGAGAGTTTGCTTTCAAGAAGTTTCCTGTCTGTGCAGACAAAGCCTGCTTGAGGACAACAGCGGCGACGTTCGTTGGCAACAACACCAGCACAGCAATCAGCAGCAGCACCACTCAGTGCTGGATCAGCCCTCCTTTCAGCAAGCACAACTTGGGGAATTGGGAGTTCAGATGGGGACACGGCAGCAGTCGGCTGCACGATTTGCTGAGTGCCATTCAGAGCTGGAAAACCGCAATGGCTCGGCTGACAACGGCTCTGCAAGGCAGATCAAATTATCTGTGTATCTCAGAAAGGAAGCCGGGTCGTAACCCACTTATTCCTAAAACATTTCCCTTTGCAGCACCATTTGCAACAGCCACAGCAACCTCCAGGCCAACTTCAGCAAATGTGCTTTGTCATCAGCAGGTCTTCTGTGCCAAAGCCTAAGCGTGCCCGCTACTGAATTGGCATCTTAATTGCTTGTCAGTGTCAGACTGACAGCAGCAGCCCTCCCGATGTGAGATGAGGTGAGATGCATTGAATTCCTGCCCCTGAACAATGATCGCTGATTGCAATTTGCTTTCAGGCACTTCGGGACGCCCTGCCCAGCATACCAGGAGTGCTGCTCAGGGAGGAACGAGCAGCCAGGGTTGTGTGCTGTCACCTGGTGCATGTCTGCTGCTCGTGGAGCTGTGCAGCGCATGGATTGGAGCATCTCTGCTCGTTCAAGCAGCAGCAGCAGCCTGCTGGGTGTTGTAGCTGTGTGCAGTGCTGTCAGAACGCAGCACAAACCCACTTGGGACACTTCTGCTAGGCTGCCCTGCAGAACTGAGGGCTCATCCTGCTGTACCTGTTCCTCACAATCCAAAGCCCCTGGTTGGGTCACGGGGCTCCATGCTGGGGTTTTGCTCTGTCCCTCCAGCCACAATGGGGTCTGTCTGTGCCAGAGGTGGAATAACCAGCATCACCCACAGGAAAGATGCAGTGTGCATCTGGGGAAAGAAAATTTGCAGCTATCCAAGCCAGAATGATCCATGGCACAGCTCAGCAGTGTGGGTAGGATTCAACCACACACACCATGTGCAGCAGCAATAAGATCTGCTCAGAGGAGCAGAATTCAGCCCTGCCACAGCAGCTGTGAGGCGTTGGGACCCAGAGGCAATGCCTGCTCAGGGGAGATGCATAACGTCCTTTTCACATCGAGTTATTTGCAAGATCCTTTGGCGTTTGTTTTTTTTTTTCTTTTCACGTGGAGTTGCTTGCAAACTCCCTTGGATCTGCTGGATGCCTTTAGCAGAGCCCTGGCAGCCCATTGGAGCCCCTTCCAGCAGCAGGGCAGGGTCACACAGCAGCAGGTGCTGCTGGCTCAGCCCATGGATGCCATCTGCCGTTCGTGAAGCACCCAGAGGGGGAGGCGAACAGGAGAAGCGCTGCTCAACCAGAATACCTACAGCAATGCCTTAAACACAAACCAACCCCACGCACGGAGAGTGCACCTGAATGAATCACCTCCCTGCTCCCCATCCCTGGCCCACCGTCACCTCCGAGGCAGGCACAGCCCCCTTGTTTTATCACCTCCTGCAGCCTCCTGTTTCCCGCAGCAGCAAAGCAGAGCTGCAGGATGCAAGGTGCAGCTGTGGAAACCATCCGAGGAGAGATGGAATCCTCCCACTCGTGTGTCTGGCAGCGTGTCGGAAGCAGTGAGTGCCAGCACTGAGCTGCTGAGGGGTGGAGAAACCCACAGGATTTCCCCTGCTCCTGTAAGGGAATCACAGCCCACGGAATGGATGTGGGATTTCCCATAGCTGAGAGCAGCCAGGGAGGGGACAGTGCTCTCGGAGGAGGCTGCAGATGCTGTGCTTTGGATGCTGAGAGCTGTGATGCTGCACTGGGGCAGAGCTTGGCATACGGATAACTCACCCTATCTCTCACCACTAAGTAACCACAGATGTGTCCCTTCCCACTCCTCGGTTACCTCTCTGAGTCAACAAAGCCATTTATGACCCAATGATAAACAGCAAACAATGTTTTTTAACGGGGAAATCACAGCTCCATCAGACACAGAGGTCTCCAAGCGAATGTCAGCTGGGAGCACAGCACAGTGGAGGTGACTGGAAGAGTCTGAAGGCTCTGCAGCTCCTTCCTGAACACAGCCATGGGGAAAGCACTCCCACGGCGAGTGCTGAGCCCCACAGGGCGACTGCTGCTGGCTGCAGACAGTGGGATTGGCTCCGTTAATGAGAGCTGGGTTTCGCTACAAAGCGGCTGACCCAGACCTGCTCCTTGCTGTGCTGCTGCTTCAGGAGCTCCTCTTTCTCTCCCTCTCTACATGCTCGGCACATCTCCAGCTTTGATTACTGACCGTCTCCATCCTCCCCCTCTCCCCCCCGCCTCGTCCCCGCTCACTGACATCTCTTCATTAAGTCCTACGACGGGTTTATTCCCATGGCGCTGCTTTGTCTGCCTCGCTCTGCAGCGTTTCTGGAAGGAGAAAGCCAAGGAGCAGCCCCCAGCTGTGCTGCAGGCAGACAAAGGCAGCGGGTCCCTCCTCCCCTTGCTCCAGCTGAACAAAGGCAACGCGGAGCCCAGGGCCGGATCCCGCTGCAATAACCTGGGGATGGGAAAAAGGGGATCAAACGGGGCCGTGCAGTGTGTGGGAAAGGTTCCTTAAGGACAAAGGAAAACACTTCGTTAACGGTTGGAGGCTCTCAGCTGTGCAGAGGCGGCTGAAACGGAGCTCTGCTGTGCCATGAGATGCGGGGTTTGTGCTGGAAAGAGAGTTTGCTCCCTCCCATCCTCTGCTTCTCAAAGGGATGCGCTACCCTGGGGTCAGCACGCTGTGTGCATGCAGAGTGAGCGCTCCCAGCCCCAAATCCCCCCAGACAGAGCAACGTTTTGGATGCAAAGCTCCCTCCTGCTGTTTGCACAACCTCCCGAAACGCAGCGCCTAAACAAACAGAGCACAGATGGGAACACGACAGGGGATGGGGCAGGAGCTGTTTGCTCCTCTTGCGCCTCGCCAGAGACAAGCAGGCGGGATGTAAATCATTAGCGAGCGGGTTGTTCGCCGCCGAGTCGCTGCTTTTTCCCCTTTCATCTCCACTTTGAGATCACAAAGAGATTTTCGGATCTGTCAGAGCTGCGCTTCGGGAGCTCCGCTCGCTCTCTGCCGTCCAGCAAAGCCCGCAGTCGGGTCCGCTCCAACCAGGGCTGGAGGTACCGGCGGACCCCGGCCCGGTGGGAGAGAATGGAACCACGGGGGTGGGGGGGATCGGGGCTCACTGGGGCCCCAGTGAGCGCTGCGATGGCGGCTTTGGCCGCACGGTGTCCCCCGCGCTCCGCCGTCCCCGAAACGGGGCTGGGATGGGCTGCAAGGAAGAAGGGTCGCATCCCTGCTGGGACACAGCGCTGAGCTCCGGCACAGCGGCCTGAGTTGCCCCCCTTTTTGCCCCTTTTTTCAGCCTCGGTCCTGCCTGTTCCTACAGTCATAGCCCATAGCACAGAATGGGTTTTCTGGGTGCAGCTTTTAATGATGCTACAAAGCTTGGAGTGTCAGTCGGTAGCTCGAACCCTCCCATATGAAGGAATGAAACCAAACAGAAGCCATGGATGTTGCTCCCTGGCCTCCCTATAGATCAAAGCTATGGGAAAACCTTTGCCCAGTACTCTGGAGGCAGGGCTCCTTTTTGTTCCTTTCTCCCACGACTGAATAGAAGATCCCAAATAATTATAGGAACTAAAATCTAAGCGGAGGCCATTTCTGCGTGAAACCCTGCAAAGGCATTTTTGTGCTACACCTGCACCAAAAGTAACACCCAGCTTCTCACCAAAGCAGTCCTTTGGGCATTCATCCCCCCCCTTCCCCCCTCTGCCAGGAGCACGGGCAGCTCCTTGCTCCAGCTCCTGGCAAAGTGACAGTCACAGCTATGGGCCTGCAGGAAAAGCCTTGCTACAAAGGCAAAAGAACAATCTCCTGCACCTGGATACAGATTTGGAGTTTCCCTTCCTGCACACCAAAGAGAAAACACGGACCTCCGAGCACCCAAGGAGGGCATCGCTTCTGCTCTCCCCACTCCGACTCTCACCTGGCTGATCCCTCCAAACCTGTGCTGGGTTCTGGGGGCAGCAGGGAGATGCTCACCCTCATCACACCCTGCAGAGCCCTTCCTGCTGGCAGGACACACAGCGCAAACACTGCAAACAATCCCTTCCTCTGGGTTTCCCCCCCAGCAGCTCTGTAGGAGACCAGAGGGGACCACAGGGCCCCTGCTAGGAATCAGAAAGGCAAAGGGCTTCCACCGCGCTGCTCAACCCCTGGCTCACCCCACCGACTGCTAGCAGCAGGCAGCCCCTGAGCACGATGCTGGAGCAGGCACAGCGTGGGGTGGGCATGGGGGGCAAGCTCTCCCATTTGTTCTTCTCAGGGTGGAAAGCTTCTGCAGACTCCAGGACGGTCGGCTGGTTTCCTGGAGACACAAAGTGAGGCAGCAGGTCACCAGCAAGCACCTCTTTACCCTGTCTGCACCCCAAAACCCGTCCCCCCTTATGGGTTCTTTTCACTGTTCCCTCAGGCCAGGTCTCCCCGTTCTGTAATGACTCTTCTTTGCTTTTAAAGTGTCACCTCCATCCCCAGGGCCTCACCCAGTCCCCCAGCCACGACGACTCTGCTTTTCAGGTAGCCAGCCACAAAGTCTGCTCGCCGTTTCTTCAGGTAGAAGGAGCGCTCCATCTTCATCCAGCCACCTGCCAGGGGCAGCACAGACAGCATCACAGCAGCACTCAGCACCACAGAATCATTCAGGTCAGGAAAGACCTCTAAGATCATCAAGTTCAACAGCCCACCCCCACCGTGCCCACTGAATACATCCCTCAGTGCCACATCTCCATGGTTCCTAAACACTCCCAGGGATGATGACCCCATCACCCATCTGCCTCTCTGGCCTCCTGCCCCTGGGAACCACACATCCTTGGGGCAATAAAACCAACAGTGCAGGGAGGGTCTGCTTCCTTACCACCTTGTCAAACCCAGCAGCTGCAGAACCCCTCTGGACCACATGTTTCCCCCTCCTGCCTCCTCTTATTAACCCCCAGTACCCACAAAAACCAGCAGGTGAGAGCTGAAACCCCCACCCACTCACCCCAATAGCACATGGGCACATCCCCACATGCACCCACCCTCACCCACGGACCAGCACAGAGCTGTGACATCCTACCTTGCTCAAAGTCAAACACATCCACAGTCCTCATGAACTTGGGCTGCCTGTAGAGCCGGCCCTGCCGCAGGCCCCCAAGGCTGAACAGTTTGTCTTCGGTGGGCACGAAGCTGGAGAAAGCTCTTTTATTGGGGATATTGGGAAACTTGGTCCATGATCTGGTCTCCGTGTCAAAGACCTCGAAGGCGTTGATGGCGTACTTGGACTGCCTTCCCCCTGGGTGAAGGGACGGGAAGAAAAGGATCAACAGCAGCCAAAGGTCAAACTGCAGCAGCAGAGGATGCTCCTGGGCTTGGATGAGAGCAAACCGCCACCGGTGGCATCCTGTGCTCCCTCTTTTGTGATTGCAGCTGCACGAGATCGAAGCACCCCATTTCTCAGTGCGTCACATCTTCCTCTTCCCTCCAAGCCAGCAGTAGATGCAGGAAGGTGTTTGGTATGCATTGGTTTAATCAAGACAAAGTCACGACAGAGAAGGGATCAGCACTGAGGGATGTTTGCAATTCAGATGAGCTCAGAGCCGGCACAAAGCAGTGATCCCAACAGAACAGCAGAGTCAGAGCAGCTGCTGCCACAACCCACAGACATGCCTTATTGTCCCCCCATCAGATGCAAGGGGACGCAGCTGCTCTCAGCCTGGGTGCTCCGTGTGCCTTTGAAGCAGAGCCTTGGCTTGCTACCGGGCCCACAAAGCGTTTGCTGGCAGCAAACAAACTACAGAATAGATCAAAAGAGCCTTTTCTGGTGGCACCCTCCAGACAGGCAGCGCTGCACGGTGGTTTGAGCTGCTGGGACTGCTGGGTTTGATCACAGCTTTGCTGCTGGTACGGCTCATTTGGCTGTGAGCCTCCAGCAGCATTTCCCTGCCTTAGTTTCCCTTTCTGTAGGATGAATGAAAACCCTTCCCTGTAAAAGGGTTGGCCCAGCCCTTCCCAGCAACAGCAAGTCTTTCCTTCTGGCCCTTCATGAAGGCGAGCAGAGCTTTGATGGCATAACATGGACAGAAGCACTGTTATTCAACAGCTGAGTGCAAGGGCTTTTGTTGGGGGGCTCAGGGCTGCACACTGAGCAGCAAACAAATGAGGGGAACCATTCACCAGCAGCACTGAGCTGCTGCAGGATCTGCATGGGCACAAGGGCTCCTGCAGTTACTTACTGAGGAGGTGTGAATGCAAACCCTACGCCCAAGCCTGGCATGTATGAGTGCACGAGAAGCAGATGAGGATGGAAAGCATTTCCCCAAGCAGACTCAGTGCCCAAGGAGGTGAAGGCAGGTGCTTACCCAGCACGTAGATCTTGGTGCCCCTCAGGAAGGAGGTGGCTGCATACCGTGCTGTGGGCATGGCTGCCAGGGACACCCAGATGTCCTTCAGCATGTCGTAGTGCTGCAGGTAGTTGTGTGGTCGTAGGTCAGCTCCCATCCCACCAGCTGCATACACTCTGTAGTCTGGACAGGGCCAAGGGGTGAGAAACCACAGTATTAATATGGGAAAGCACACCTGAGGGATGTGGGGAGCTATTTCTGTTCCTGGTCTCTTGCGCTGAGTTGATCTGCCATAACCAAGCACAGAGGGAAAACCAGCTCTGAGATGGTGAACAATCTTTGTAAACATTCCTCCATGGCAGCTTTTAGAGCTACATAAGCAAATAAATGGAGCAGCTTTCAGAGGAGCTGCCTGTGGATCTGCACCGATCCCCAGTGTGTGTGCATTGCTCCTGGCCCCAGGTATGCAGTGCCAGCTCCCGGCTGTTCAAAGCGGGGCAGAACATGTGAAAGTAAATCAAAGCTCCACCTCTGTGCCTGGAGATTAGAAAATGAGATGGGCAGATGAAGGCAGAGCCCTGCAGGCGTTTAACAGAACGTGGGTATGGCTGTGGTTAAGCTCATGGAAGGGAGTGAGGCAGGAGCCCCCCATGAGCCAGGTGCTTCCCTTCCCTGTGCACTGATCTGGGCCCACAGTTATGAAGCCAGCTCTTGTGTTGGGTGCTGGGTTTGGAACAGAGACTCTGCTCTGATGAAGGCTGAAGGCTGCTCTGCGGATTGGGGTCATGCACCTCTCCCCCTTCACTGTGCAGCCAGAGGCTCTGCCCATTTCTTCTTCACGGTGGGACCTGAACTGGCTGCAGATTTGGGGAAGCCCAGCTTCAGCCCTGCAGCTTGGAGCTGCCAGAAACACGGCCAAGCTTCAGCCCTTGCAGCTCTTGGGCAGAGCGCACTGCTGCCTGCATCTGCATTTGGCAGCCAAGAATGGTCCATTGGTGAAATATGACAACCACGTGAGGCTAGGCCTCCGTAAGCAAAGAAGAAGAGGTTGAGGAGCAATCCAACCCTACAGCACTGCCCAGAAAGCATTTATGCCCCACGCACGGGGGGACACCAACCCTCCCGCACCCTGCTTACCTTTTGCCGTCACCGAGATGCCCATGGCCGCCTCCCTCAGCGAATTCCTCTTCTTCCACTTGCCTTCATCCACGTTGTACATCTCCACGATCTTCAGAGGCGCTTGGTTGGCCCCCACACCCCCGATCACCATGATCCTTTTGCCCAACGTGGCCACAGCCACCCCGGCCCTGGCAGTGGGCATGGGGGGCAGCGACGTCCATTGGTCAGCCTCGGGGGAATAGACCTCAAAGCAATCCATGGGGACACCGTTGTCATCGCAGCCCCCGATGGCAAACACCTGCCCACCCACTTCCACCAGCGTGGAATAGACCCGGCGGCTGGGCAGCGGGGCCAGGGTCTTCCATTGGAAATCCCTGGTGTTGGCCACCTCCATGGTGTCAGCATCCACCTGCTGCTGATGGGGCACCTAGGCTGTAAAACACGGCGGGGAGGTGCAGGAGGAATGCAGAGTGCAGCAGTCAGAGCAGAACAAGCCCTAAATCCATCGCAGCCACCTGCCCACCCCCCCCCGATGCCAGCAGTACCTCTGCCTGCAGCTCTGCTCATCCTGCAGATCCACGTCTGCCTCAGCAGCTCATGCAGAGCTGAGCCTAAAAATAAAACGAAACAAAAGGGGGAAAAAAAGCAATAAAAATAAAACAAACCCAGGCAGGAGAGCTTGGAGTCACTTTGCTTCCTGAGCATCCCCACCCCCAAGCGACATTCAGAGCAAGGAGGAGGCTGCAAGCTGTCTGCTCCCTGCCCTGCAGCATCTCTGCCTGCTGGGGAACTTTTCCTTGCTCTGAGCTTTCCTTCCTCTGGAGCCCATTTCTCCTCCTGACCCTTGTGACGCTGGGACACAGTGATGAGCCACACCAGGCTCCAGCCAGCAGCCCTGAGGACAGGCTCCAGCTCTGGCTGCAAACCCTCCTTCCTTCCTCTCCCCTCCCAGACCGGCCATTAAGCAATGCAGACGAGATTAATTAGTACAGGAAGACAGAAAGAGGGCAAACAGGAGGAGGGAAGGCAGCTGCTCATCCACCGTGCACGGTGGTGCTTTTTGCACTGAGCATCTCCACCTGCGTGCCCCAGATTGGGGTAACAACGTCCATTAGAACAAAGCAAGGTTTGTCTCTGCCCTTGCAGGCTGCTGCCTCTCACACCTGCGCTGGGATGGAACTGTTCCCACTTGTCCCCATTTGCAGCCCCTTTCTCAGTTATCCCATCACCCCACTGCCTGCTCTGTGGGGACCAACTGAAGGTGACTTCCACACTCCTTCAGCTCCTGCTTTTCATCTGAAAGCGTGACTCAAAGGACAGCGATGAAAAGCATCAGCAAAGCGCACGTGGACAGAGATCCATCAAAATCACATCACTTTCAAGCACAAAACCCAACGGATTTAACAGGGTCGAAGGAGCACAAAGCAGCAGAGCTGCATCCCATCCAGCAGCCAAAGGGAAAGGGGCAAAAAAACCAGATGAGGTCAACAGCTGCCATCCTCCCCCCGGTCTGCAGCACCTCATGCTCTGATGTGCATCAGCAGAGCAGCACAGGGGAGGGGGAAGGGGGGAGGTTTAAGCAGCTCTGGGCTACAGCTGTGGTGAATGATTAATTTTCTCTCCAGGTAAACTGTCGTGCATTGCCACGGATAAATCCAGCGTGGCCGAATGCATTAGAAAAGCAGAGCCTGCTCCTATCTGCAGGCACACGATGGGTTTGCAGGCTGACCTCTGCTAAGTCTGTGCCGTGATAAAGCACAGCCCTGGGATGAAGCACGTCACCGCTGTGCCAGACAGCTTCTGTGCTGCCATTCATCACACAGAGCTGCACCTCGAGGATGATGCTCTGTTTCTTAGCAAAGCGTTGCCTCAAAAATCTCTTTTTTCAGCACACAAACACGCGAGCGTTGCTCAAAGTAGTGGGGGTGCATGGGGGGATTGCTGAGCAAAGAACAGCAGAGTGAGAGCTGCAAACTCAGCCCAGCTGCGGCTCAGCAGAGCTCTGCCTCAATTCGGCTGCCTTGGCAGAGGGAGAGTTCAAGAATTCGCTGTTTTTCCCTTTCATGCTCTTAAAAGCAGATCGAGGTCAGGTCTGAAGCTCTCCATTATGCACGTAGGCTTCGTCTGGGGCTCTCCAGCATCACCTGGAAAGCATCGCTGTGCTGTAGGAGCTGCCAAACGTGCTGACCCAATGCCCCACTGCACTGCAGCCACATTCCGCTCCAGGCAGAGGGAATTATCACTTAATTAGACCAAACGCATCAGAAGCATTAACATTTTTTTCCCCTAAATGGCTGCGTTAGGATCACAATGAATGGTAATTGCTTTCCTATCGGAGGAGATGGCAAGCAGTGAGCTGAGCCCACACCAGTTCTGGTGACATTTATTGCCTACAACAATTTGTGATTTATAGGAGAGGCTGTGCTGAACGCACTGAGGCTCTGAGCTGCCCAAATAGGGCAGGCTTTGTCCCCAAATCCAGTGCTGCCATCTGGGGCTGCCTGTGTTCCCTTTCCCACATCCCCTCCCTGGGATTTAGATGCTTTTATGCTCCAGGTTTGATATTCCTCAGTGGAATGGGTGGGAGGGAGCACAGAGTGTGAGCCCATCCTGCACAATGCTGGACAACTCTGCTCTGAAGCCCCAGAAGCATCGCACTGCTGCAGCTCATCCCCCCCTTTTGGAGACCCCACAAAGGTGCAGGTGACCACACACATCCCCTTAGCAGCTCTCACAGCAGCATCAGGGCTGCACCCTCGTCTCCACCACCCCAAAATGGGTCACCATCACAAACGGTGATGGGTCAGACCCAGGGTTCCTGCATCCCCGCTTCCACCCATGTGCTCCTTGCTGTCAGTGGGGTTAAAACAAAGCTGCCACAGAGAAACCTTGCTCCCTACCGAGAAAAAGAGCTTGTACTCACCTCAGTGCCATGCAAGATTCACCCTCGGCTGTCCTACAGCTTGGGAAAAGTGGCTGCAAACAGAGCAGAGCACAGCGTGCTGCCAAGCAGGGTTTGTTCCCAGCACAAGGGGATGGGCATCACAGGAACGGGGGCAACAGGAGCTGGAAATAGCACAAACCCTGGGAAGGAATCACAGCTCCACGCAGGAGTCAGCAGCTCCAGCTCGGATCTGTCGGCACTGTGAAAGAAGGAGCAGGGAGAGATGACACAGCACAGCAGTGAGGATGGGGCTCAACGTGGGGAAACCGGCTCTGCTGTGAGGATATGGAGGAGACCTCACAGAGCATCCCCACCTGCAAGGATGGGGGCTTTGGTGAAGATGGGGGAAAAAGAGGCAAAAAATATTAGAGAAATAGGAGGGGAAAGGCAGCGATCGTTTCCTTGGGGCTGTATTTCCTTGGATCCCAAAGAAAGATGGTGGGTGAAAAGTTTCTGGTGCAGAGCAGCGCCCACCCCCCAGTGTAATTGAGGGGAGCTGCTTTTCCTCCTGGCAGCACAGGCACATCACAGATAAACATCAGCAGAGTGAGGAGAGAGGCCCTATGGGGCCAGGCGTTAGCAAATGACTGCAAAATTTCACACGAGCCCCTCAGGAAACCCCATGACCCCCCTGCTGCTGCCTTTGCTTCTCCCCACTCGGGTTCCAGCAGCTGGGATTTCAAACTGAACGTGCACGAAATGCTCAGTCTGCTATTTCTGACCTCTCCTCACACCCAATTGAGTTTCCTTTCCATAGTAACGGCCACCAGGAAAAATAACAGCAACCAGAGCCAGCAGCTCCTTGCTTTCCACTGCAAATAACCCCGCTGGCTTTCAAGGAGATTTCTAGCTGCGATGCTTTTGCAAAGGGAACAAATGGCACCTTGGAGCAAAGAAAAAGCAGCAGCGCTCACAAGGAGCTCATTTGGAGCCTCTCCCTGCAGACAGACGGACGGACAGAGGAAAGTGCCACTCAAATTGAGCTCCCTGGCTTCCCAACAGAAAAGACCCCTGAGGTCCTTTGCAGCCACGCACAGTTTGCTGGTGGGGGGGAGGCAGAGAGCTCACGCTCGGCTCACAGCCCTGCGATGGGGATGGATGCCAGCAGCTTCAACACGCGATGGGACAGGGAGACACAGCAATTTTTGGTCACTGATTAGCATGGGGAAAGAGAGCAGAGCATCTTTTATTTCCTGGGTGAACAGAGCAAGGTAAGGTTTATTCCCATTGCATTTTGTCTTCAGAGAGTTGCAATTGCAGCAGGAAAATAGTATCACCCCAGCATGGCCCTGCTGTGTCCTGCATCCCTCCCCCTTTCCCCCTGATGCTGATGCTGCTCTCTTTGCATGGGTCAAATCTTCTTTAAGCCCCACGGACCCTCTGCTTACATTGATAAATCTCTGTTGGTCTGTATTCAGACTGCATCCCTTCAGAGGGAACAGGGAGAGAGAACTGTGGGGCACCCAGTGCTGCTCCCAAGGCCTGAATGGGGGGGGGAGGAGCAGAAAAGAATCCTTTTGGGGACAAATGGAACAACAAAACATAGGAAAAAATGAGGGGGGAAACCAACCAACCAACCAACCTCCTCGTGCCACTTTTTAAAGGAGAAAACGCAACCCCAGAGCTTCGTTCTGGCTGCACAACAGCAGCACGGCGCTGCAACCCCCAGCAAACCCCCACCCCCCCCCTCTCCTCCCCCAACCTGAACGCTGTGCTTACAGCTGGGCCGGCTCCTCGCACGATGCTCTCCTTCAAACGCTCTTCAACTTCAGCCCAGAGAAACCCCGAGCGCCGGCATCTCCAGCTTGAGAGCATCCGTCCCTCGGGTGGGGATCGGGGGGGGCTGCGAGAAAACGAGTAGGAATCCTTGGGCTTTAATCGCCCGCTTGCAGGAGGCGTGGGATGAACGGAACAGGAGCTCTCCCATCTGCTGCGGCCGTCGGGATCCTCCTCGGTGCCGCCGCCGGGGCTGTGCGTGCGGGTGTGCACAGGGCGGATTAGCAGAGCCATGCTTTAAGCCTTTTATGGCTCCTAAAGCTCGCACAGGATGTTCTATCACAGCGGCCCTCCCCTTCCACGGCTGCAAAAGGAAAAGCGGTCGAGGAGGGAGAGATGGAGCGGGGATGGATGCTGAGCTGGGGACGGCTGATCTGTGGGCATCGATCAGCTCCGTGGGCAGAGAAAACGGGAAGGATGGAGGGGCTGCACTGGGATGCAGGGGCTGCACTGGGATGTAGGGCTGCAGTGAGATGTGGGGGCAGCAGTGGGATGTAGGGCTGCACTGGGTTGTAGGGACTGCAGTGGGATGTAGGGGCAGCAGTGGGATGTGGGGGCAGCAGTGGGATGTAGGGGCAGCAGTGGGATGTAGGGCTGCACTGGGATGTAGGGGCTGCACTGAGGTGTAGGGACAGCATTTGGATGTAGGGGCAGCATTGGGATGTGGGGCAGCACTGGGATGTAGGGAACTTTGGGCCCCAAACTTCTCAGAGCCAACGTTCCCCATTCTGATGGTCCATGAAAGGCTTTTGCAGCCCTGATTTTCTTCTCTATTCTTCTCCAGAAGCTGATGCAGAATAATATCTCTGACTCCAGGAAAGAAAAACAAACAAACAAACAGAAAAACAAACCCAAAACCACAAAACAAAACATTTCTGAGCCAAATCAGCAGGAGAAAGATCCTTTCAATGTACGTCCCATCAATTTTGGACCCGTGCCCTGTAGAGCTGGAAGAGCCTCAGCTCTCATCCTGGAGCAGCAGTGATCTGACATAGGGGGGTTTTACCATCCCTACAGGTGACCTCATGATGTTTGGAGCTCAGCTCTGCTTGGAAAACCCCCTAATTCTGACTCCAAGCTCAGCTGATGGCCATCCAGCCCAGGTTTGCCCCCACTGTTGTCTCATGCTGCTCCAGATAGGAAACTACATTAAAGCAGCTCCAGCTGTAAAACAAAAATTAGGAAATCCACAAGAAGTTGACTCAAATGACTACATAAAAGCAAGCTCTCATCTCCTACCAGCTATTTTAATCTGCTGTTAGCTTTCCAGTGGGAGGATTCAATTTACATTTAAATAAAAATCTTAAGCACGGGGCCTATCTACCATTACAACATTCATTACAGAGGCATTTACCTCCCAAGAAATTTTAAGAGATCTCATGGAAGTGTGTTTTAATGAGTGAGTGGGGGGACTATTAGCAGCCTGCTATTATTGGCTGCTTGTATTTGTGGGCTGCTGTTGTCAGTCAGCAGCTTGCTTGCAGGTCAGCCCAGCAGCTGAGGGAAGGGTTGCAGTGAGTTTGCAGACAGCGAGCTCACAACCAGAGGGAAGCAACAGTGCAAAAAGAAATCTCACACCACCAGAATGCAGCTGCAGGAAACTCGTTTTCATGGGGAAGGAGAGGCTACAAGCTGGAGGAAATGAATGGGATGAGCAAAGGGAAAAAGCATTGCTGCTGCTTTGGTTCAAAGCAAACTTGGAGTTTTTTGAGCCATTCTCATGCAACCACCAGCACTGGCACTGCTGTCTGTGCTGCAGTTCTAAGCCAGGCTGCCCACTCAAGCCCTTATCAGCAGCTGTTGGGGTTTTCCCCCTCAATATGCTGCTCCTGCTCAATTCAGTTCATACAGGCATCTCCATAGAAAATGTTTTTATACTGAACCCTGCCCAGGGAAGTGGGTAGGAACTGTATGATCCTTAAGGCCCCTCCCAACCAAAGCCATTTTGTGATTCTTGAGCCCTCTCCGAAGTTCTACAAAGGTCAAACGTTGGGGAAAACACAGAGCCCCAAGCTTTATGTCTGTTCCCATCCATGCTGGATGGGCACCGGTGTTATCTGGGGTGTGCGAATGGGCACATGAATGCAACTCTCCATCCTGCCTCCAAGAGGAAGCCTTCCCATAAGGAAAAGGCATTTCCACGTGAATGGTGGGCTGGGGGATAAAGAGAGCTTTGGCTCAGGGCACCAGCACCAGTCCCACTTTGACGTTGCCAATAACACCAATGCAAACATCCTTTCATCCTCGTGACACATCATCAAGCTGAAAACAAGGTGGCCGCTTTCCCAGCGGGGACAACTGCACAGCTTTGTGTCCCTGTGGATGGCGATGGCCCAGGGAAACTCCAGAGTTGTGCTGCAAAATGGGAAAGGTAACTTTTGCAACACGGCTGGGAAACGATAAAGGTGATGTCAGCATTAAAGGAACAGCAGCAGTGCTGGGAACCTGGAGCAGCTCCTGCAAGCCAACAGCTGTTACCATGGGAACAGCAGGAAGGTTGCTGGAATTCCTGTTGGTGACACAAATAAACCAAAACATGATGTTTTACTTCAACCTTCATCTCTGGGTGGAGCCAGCTGCACCCAGTGAACGCTCTCAGTGGGACCAGCCCATGTATGTACCTGAGTAAGTGGTGATGAATGGGAGGAGAAGGAAGACAGGGAGAAAGCCAGCAAGCACTCCTACAAACCCAACCAATGCTCCTGCTGAAGAAATCACAGCTGTGGGGATGAAGGCAATGAATCCATGCAATGGGAGCAGTGCTTGCCCACGCACACCTGGGTGTCAGCATCACCCTGGGGCTGTTGGACACTGCAGGGCTGGAGGCAGCAGTCAGTCTGCCCAGCGTTTCTTGCAGAGGTCTGGCATCCTGACAGTTAATTAACTAGTTAATTAATTAGCTCTCTCTCCCACGGGGCCTTGAGCTGGTCGCAGCACAGAGTCACTGTAATGCAGGCAGACAGGAGCTGGGAGGTTCAGGATCTCTCCATCGCAACGCTTCACCCAAGGGGAGAAGTCCACCAGCTGCGTGTGCCCCTCTGACAAACACAAGGAGACACCATCTCAGAGACCAGGCACTCAGAACAGACAGCTGCTGTGAAAAGAGCCTGCAGAGAGGCTGGAGATCAGCTGCAGGGAGCAGGATGGTGAGGCAAAGTGATGCTTTTGCTGCATCCCTTCGCATTCAGAGAGTGCGTTGCAATGGGAGATCCCACCTGCTGGCCCCAGCAGCCCGATGTGGTGATGCAGAGGAGTGTCTGAAGGGGTTTTGTAGCCTATGGGCAGAGCCTGAGCAAACACAGGGACTTTGGACTGTGGGTTTTGTTCTCTAGGCTTCAAAGGAAGCAGGGGTTAATCATTGACAGAGCATTCAGCAGGGCTGAAAGGGGCACAGGGGGGAAAAAGCATTGGGATCATTCTGATTTGGTTCAGCAGAAACACAACACGTTGGTAAATTAATTCCTACGGACAAAAGGGTTCATTTAAATTGTAGAGAACATTCCTCACCTCTGGGGGGGGCTAAACGTGTTAAATGTAAAGTATTTGGTGCTTTAATAAGGTTTCAAAAGGAAGCATTGTCAAAAGCTCAGATGCTTTGGTCCAAAGGCTGCCACGTGGAAATACTTCCACCAGAGCATCTCCTTCCTTCTGTTTTGCTGATCTCCTAAGCTAATTTTATGGGCAAACACATGAATCTCTTATCATTGTGCTTTCATTGTTCTCACTGTATCTGGAAGTTCTATTCCAGGTTCCACCACTCAATGCTTTCATGATGCTCTGTTTGTGTCCACCTGCAGCCATTCACACCCAACCCAGCAAGCACTTCTATGGCTGCTCCAGGTTCTCCAGCAGTGTTTGCACAGCCCAGCAAAGCCAGGAGGGGCAGTGGTTGCATTCTGAGCTGCTCAGACAACCATGGCAGCAGAGCAAAGCCACCCCCAGGCAGAACAAGGCCAACAGTGAAGGAAGATCTTCTCACCTATCAGACCCCACCTCTCATCCTCTGCAGCTTCCACTCTTCCAGCCCAGCTCCTGCCCATCCTGGGGGTGTCTGCAAGAACACAGAGCTCTTCTACAGCAAACCTGATTACAATTGACCTCGGTGCTGCAGCACTTCAGCTGTTCCCCATTTAGCACCAATTCTGCTGTCATTCCTCTGCCCAAGCTGTTTCCTCCAGGCATGCATCCTTGCTGACAGCTCTCTGGAGGAGAAAGTTGCAGTGCATTAAGCTGGAGACATGAAGGAGAGCTCATGATGTGTCCCCAGAATGGGTCAGCAGCAGAGCTGGGGTAGTGAGTGGCCATGGGATGGGGCATCAGCAACCCCATAGGATTCACAGGGGCAAAAGCAGGCATTACAAGGCCTCAAACCCTACCAAATACATTAAAAAAAAACCCTTATAGGGAAAAATTACTGTATTTAGAGGTGCCCAAAGTGACCCAGAGTGATCACGAGCAGTTCCAATGCAGCCCTCCCTCCATAGCTCCTTTAGGACACAGCATGCAAGAACAAAGAGGCAACAAAGAGGCACTGCAACCTTATTTCCTTACTTTGCACCTGCTCCACTGCTGTTAGCCAAGAAAACAAGCTGAGTTATCACATTATAGCTACCCCCCAACTAGCTGAGTTACCAGAGGTGTGACAGATACCCCCAACCATCAGCTTCAGTGTCTGGGAACCCAGGGAACTGGGATGGGGCACAGCTCACCACCTCTGCACCACTCCATGTTTGTGTTGGTGATCTGCTCAATGAAATGAACAAGCACAATACATGCCAGGCTCACTCCCCAGGGAAGGAGGATGAGTTCCTACTCAGTTCTGGCAGGATCCCACGCTGCCTCACTCCTTTCCAGGGAGCTGGAGGAGACTTGGCACAAACAGAACTCCTCTGTGGGTGGAGGAAGCTCTGTCTCCCCCCAGTTTGAATTAAGGAATGCACTGTTAATTGAAATCCAACTCTAATGAGACTTGCAGCTGGGCACAGACCTCATTTCAGGACTGGCCACAGTATCAGGGCTGCTACCACTGCCCAAGGCTGTGGCTGTCACTTCCAACAAACCCAGCAAGCAACAGATTGAGAGGTTATTTTCCAAGCACAGCTTAAGCTGCAGCACCTCACGTGGCCAGGATCTTGCTCTAATTCTTCCACTTTATTATTTTTAAGAGAAGGAAGCAGGAACAACTGTATACCAAAGCAAAGACCCAATATAACAGCACTGGGCACTGTCACCATTCCCCCTTTTCAGCAACATTTCCAGACTCGAAGGGACAAAGCTATTAGCCCGGAGTGGTTAACCCCTTCCTTGAACCTTCATGGCTTGTATTCATGCCTGTCCTCCCAGCTTGGTGTTTCCCCAGCTGTAATACAACCAGAGCATAGAGAAGCTTTACCTTCTCAAAGACAACAGTCAACAGTAGGTGGGCAACCTCTTGAAGGTGTCTTTTGCCATCGCCTCTGGTAGCTGGCCTTCTTTTAAGTGGTTTTAGTGGAGAGATGGTGGTGGTAGGTGGACTGGATGATCTTGGAGGTCTTTTCCAACCTTGGTGACCCCACCTAGAGCAGCCCAGTTAACACCAAGCCACACACAGCTCCCAGCTCCAAGCCAACCAGGCTTCAGAGGAGGAACAGCAGATAGGAACCACTGCGTGGAGCAGACGCCAGGGACACACAAACCACTGACCTCTAATGCTCCTCCCAGCCCTTTAATTGACCACCAGACTCATTGCACATCGCAGGGAGGAAAAAAGAAAATGCACTCTTCAGTTCTGCACTCCCTGCTGACATGGGTGCTGCCTCTCTTTCTCCCCAGGCTGAAGCTCAGAAGCAGACTGTTACCACCACAGCCAGAGAGAGGTGCATGAAGACCATGAACGCAACCAGGATGACGATCACCAGCACAACAACATCAGACAATTCACATTGCTCCATCACTTCCCGTGCTGCTTCTGCTCTGCTCTCCTTTCCCTGAGCTGCTGCTTCTGCAGCCTCTATTGGTAGCAATGGCTCCTCTTCCACCAGTCTCATTTTCTTCTGCATCGGTGATAACTTGCTCTTTATCTTTGGCCTTTTCCTGCTGGTCCTGAAGGACAGACAGACAGACACGGTTTCAAGAACCTGAGCTCTCATCACTGACCCTACAGAACCAAGGTGTTACCTTTTGGATGCATCACAAAGGCTATAACAGAAACCATTAGGGGAGGAAAGGCACCTCCAGGCTGTTATTCTATGGGTAACCAGGAGTGAGCTTCTCCAAAAGGTAAAAACAAACCAAAGCAGAGATTGGTTGACAGCAAGAGGAAAAGAGATTAAGTGCACATTACCTGATTCCTCTGGGAGACATAGAAACAGCAAAGCACGTTTCATCCTGGTCATCTTCATCCTGTCCATCACTACATGTTCCACTCGACTAATGGGAAAGAAGGTTACACTTAGAGATTTAGTGGACTCAGTGCACTGGGCTTTATTTCTAGCAAGCAAGGCCACCACACAAGCTGCAGATTGCCACAAAGGAAGCCACCTGAATTTCAAGGGTGAGAATGCTCCATCTTTTGAGGTCCTGGGGTTACCAGAACAACATTAACAAATAAGTAACTGTGCTATTGACCACAGGAGTCTAACAGCAACAGTGCCCAGACCTAAGAAACACCACGGAACCTCCTGAAGAGTGAATGGAAGGACTTAAATCCACCAAAGAGATGAGGTTAAAAGCAATGCTGGTTGCCTACAGTCTGACACAGAGCCTCTGGAATGTTATTCAGTAAGCCACTGCACTCTTGTCCTGCTGCAAGAAGAAACACTGCTTGTATTGCACAAGGCAACGAGTAATGCACAAGAACAGTGCTTTGCCTCCAGACACAGCATCTAATCACAGCACTCAAACTCATCTGTAGGCAAGGAGAACAGTGCTGTAATCACCATTCCTGTGATACCAGTGTTCCAAGGCCTCTCTGTAGCTGCAATCCCCTCATCCTGGCTGCCAGCAAGATACAAACCCTGTGCCAAAGGCTGATGATGGCTAAATCTGTGCAGGATGAGGCCATTATCTTTAACATGATGCAACAGGGTCCATTTCCAGGGCTGAAGCCTAAACAGATACTGCTCCTCATCAATTACTTACATTTAACATTGCACATGCAAGCGCTGTGCACAAAGATCTCCTCACTCAGGAGGATCCATGGCTCAATTCTACACACAAAGAGCAATTTATTCTGCAAATACATCAGAAAGTTCTCCCAGAGGGTTCTCTTCAAAGGAGTGTCATCTTCTTTGAGATAGCATCTTCTGGGCTGCACACAATGCTGGGAAGGAAGCGAGATGCCTTGAGGGGAACGTCTGGTTCCCCTGCCAGCATTCCTGTGTGCGAGTTCAATGGCTCAGAGCTGACTCAAGGTCTTAACTCCGCACTGTGAACCTCACAGGAGATGAGCTCTGATAAGATGCAAGGCTTAGAGACCAAGGGAAGCACTTGTGGAATGCTGTAATAGTAAATGAAATGAGATCTGATGACTCAACGTCATTTGGATCAGCCTGAGGGTGGAAGCATTTGGTGGCAGAGGGAACACAGCAAGCAGCTGCCCTAAGGTTACAGTGCCACAATGTCCCAGCACTGCCCTGGGACCACCATGGGGACTGCCACCAGCTGCCCTTGCACCAGCACACCAGCAGCTGGATGGATGAGATGATTTTGGAGCTCTTCTCCCACCCCAGGGGTTCTATGAACGCATCCTCCAGCAGTATTTGCTCCAGCTGTTAATATTTCAACACAGACTCATTAATGCAGGCGATAGGGCTGTAATTATGGTTTCTCGTGGCGAGTTACCACAAAGTCCTGAGTGCCACACAACACAGCCCAAGCTCCTGTTAATCACACTGATTTAATGAGGAGCTTCTTACAGCTCTTCCACCTGCGAGAAGTCTACGCATACAGTCACAATGCAAAGTTGATTTACAGGTATGTAATTAAGAGTCTGAATTAATCTGCATTCCATAAGCGAGGAATAAAGCAATCACCAAAATCGCTTCTAGTTTATCACTAATTAGCTGTCTGATACATACTCTGTTCTTAACCCAGTGAACTGAAGGCTCTGAGAGCATCCCAGCAGAGCACAAACCCAACTGAATGCTCTGCAGCCAGAAATGGACATGGCTCCCTTCAGTAATCACCACCAGGATGTCAGAATCAGAAGGCAGCAAATAGGTGAAAATCCAAGTTAAATTCCCTGCTACGATTTGGGGATGCATGGAAGCAGAAAGACATCATCACTTTCCTATGCCATCATCTTAGCAAGCCACAACCCACCTCACAGACAGAAGCTCCACAGGGCTTTCAGCCATTCCCACGTGTGAAGCAGCCATACAGACTGAGGACACACCGATTACTTTCACCACGGTGTTACAGGTGGGGATATTTCCCAACAGCAGGGCCAGCCCTGGGCCAACCATTGCAGCCCAAAAGCCCCTCAGGCACTCAGAGCAGATCTGCATCCAGGACACATGGAGAGCAGCACATCCCTCTGTCACAGAGGGGTTCTGGACATCATGTACTAGACAGCCAAGTGTCCACTTGCTCTAAGATGCAAGCAGCAGCCACTAATTGGCACTGATTGCCATTACTGTGGAATCTCTTGTAAGAAAAGTTATTATTTAACATAGAGAACGTAATGAGTGCATCAGTGGCTGGTTCCAATTTTGAACACAGTGCTAAATCTAAGCGATGTCAGTATTGCAGAAGAGAACTTGGCTTATTCTCATACCCAGGCTGGTGAGCAGACAGCACAAAACCAGGCTCAGGCTATAGAAGGATGCTATAATTAACTGATTGGAGGTAATTGCTGCAGTTGTCATGAGCTAATACAATGAACATCAGTTGATATCAACTTGCAATTTCCTCCATTTAGCTGCACAGACACACAAAACATTCATGTGTTGGGAGATTCCTTACCTCACTGCTGGCAGCAAGGCAGCCTGCTGTCACTTTGAAGTCCTTTGTTTCAAAGGTTACTTCAGTACTTCTGTCTGAGTGAGGAGAAAGAAAGAAGAGCTTCAAATGCAAGCAAATGAGCCTGAACTATCTGTAGTAAGGTTGCATAACGTGATGCTTTTGATAGCCACAGCTCTGGGGAACTTCAGAAATGGCATTGTTTAATTATCCCTGCAATATTCTTTGATTGCAGGTGGGGTTTGCATGCACGTGCCACCAGAATTCAAGCAGGCACCCACCTAAAGCAGACCCAGAAACCAGAAGTGGCTAAGAGCCATTCACCTGCTGGGGATCACCCAAGCAAAGCAGCAAACACCACTCAGCCCACCCTGAGCCCAGCACAGCACAACCAGAATGCAATCTTCCCCTTATTTTCAATGGCCGTACAAAGAGGCTGTGTTTGAGGCTCTGCTTTTGTTGTGACAGCTGCTGAGCCATCCGAGTAGCTCAGTGCACAGCTGTTGGATTCACGGTGGGTTGTTGGGTGGGTGTTTTCTTGGCAAAACATGTCTAAACCACTCAGGATTTGGGAACTTTTCTTTAAAGTGCAACAGAAATGGCCCCGCCAAGTTAATTGCTCCAACAAAGCTGGATATTCATTCCAGTCTGCAGCATACATGGGAAGTTTGCTCTTGTCTTTGAAGAGAACTTCAAAGGGCCCTGCAATAAAGGAGAGGTGGGGACAGAGAGGGGTTTAATCCTAAGGAACTTCTAAAAAGGCTTTTGGAGATTAAAACACGGAATGTTCCACCTCAGTAAAGAGAAAACGACGTCTTCTCAGGTTACCCCAAACACCTTCATTTTGGATAGGAGTTCCCAGGCAGGTCAGAAATGCATGCATTCCAGCAGGCAGCCTGCTGGCCATCACCAGAACTGCTGGTAAGAACTATGCCCAGAGCACAGCTTGGTCTGCAGGAGACACATGCAACAGAGCAGCGTGCAGATCTGTAACAGCACTGCAAAGAGAGGCTGCTCCCAGGGGGGTATATCTCATGTAATGCATAGGGAGCTGCTCTGTCAGCCAGCACAGAGCAAATACAGGAGTGGAAAGACGCCTCTGTTCTCTTTGGGGTTTGAAAATCAGTGTGAATACTACTTCTGGTCCAATCAACTCTCTTCATAAGGCCGTGCTTTTGTTTTCATCCCCCTTCACTGAAGCACACATCTTACTCTCCCCTCCCAAACTGGAAAATAAATTAATCCCAGCTGCTATTCCGTATCATTGGACCCTCAGGAATATATTGCAGTTGGTCCTTGGATGAGGATACGTCCCTCAGAATGCAGTATGGTGCTGGAATTCTGCTGCCTTCCATTTCTGCCTGCCAGATAGAAGCAGCAGCACACCTCATTCCTCCCCATCCTGAGCTTATTGCCACCAAATGCCCCTGGGGAGGCTCAGCCTCTCCCCTCTCACTCCAAACCATCACCCTTTAGGTCTCATTGCACGTGACCTCAACCACAGTGCACGCAATGCACACACAGCACCGGTCCTGGTGTGGCTGCGCATCACCACCACTCACTTTGCACATCGAGCTCCTCCGGGTCACGCTCAGCTTCAGTGTCCTTCTGTCGTCCTATCAGTGCATTGCATTTGGTCTTGGACATCTCTCCCATCTGCAGAGCTTTTGGGAAAAAGAAGCAGAGCGCAGATGGTTGCCCCTGCTTGAAAGACATCTGCCAGCAGCTCCCCTCTCTCACATCACATCCAGTACTTAGGACAACTTTGGGATCACTGCCACTGCTGGGATGGTTTGTAACCATCAGATCCCACCCAAAGATTTCAACACTTCCTTATATAACATCCTCGTGAAGATTTAGTAGCACGTTATCAATTAAACAGGTTAAACTCATTACCTATGAGTAATTAGCAATAACAGATAAACTGAATAAAGCAACACACAGTTTTCCAGAAGACCTTCATATTCCTGCCCCACCATTTTATCACTGGACCAGTGGCACAGCTCTCCCAGCCTCTTCCCCCACCCATGGAGGAGCACAGAGCATCCCTTCCAGCTCGGTTTGCTTGAAGACCTTGGGGATGGGCTGTCCTCCCCCACCATTCCCACTATTCTACACCCATTTGCTCATTCAGAATGCTCCTGCACCAGGATTTCACTTGCTCTCCATGCAGCTCCCTGTGGCAGCCCTCATTTAGTTGATGCCTTCAGTGCTGAGGCTGTTGCATTCAGATATGTCAGTCTAAAAGCAGCACATCGAGACAGATTAAATACAGCCAAGCAATTCTACCAGAACTAAGTTAGATGCCCCTGTTTATTTGACATAGCATAAAAGGGAAAAGCACACACAATCCACAAACCAAAGATCAGCTTTGTTGGAGCTCTATGAATAAAATTGGATATTTCCAGCCATCCTGCTGTAGCACATTTCCATATATACTGCACAGAGTAAACGAATCACTTCTGGCACTGAAATATTGTGCATGACTGCATGCAACAGCTGCTCCTTCATGCATCGGTCGCCTGTGATCAGATTCTTATTACAAGATGCACCATCCCAACAGGGGTGGAAATAAACCCCAGCAAGCACAGACTGCTTGGCTTAAGGAGCAGGGATCTTGCCTGAAGACACACCTCATCTGCTTCCCCTTACGTGGCTCTGGATCTCCCTTTTATGCTTTTCCAGTCTGAGCAATGCTCTCTGCTCACTGTACAGCAATCAGGACATGATAAATCACAACAACCTCGACAGCACTCACTATTTCCAGGTAGGCAGGCACCTATCCCAAGGGACCCAAAATCCCAGCCAGAGGCATCCACGACACCTCCAGCAAAAACACTGCGATGAAAAGGACGGGGGGAGGTCAGGAAGATGAGTTTCACCCAAATTGGGGTGGCAGCACTCCAGAGGACATCCCTTACCTGTTCACATGGCCAGCAGGAAGCTGTGCTCTGAGTGCTGTTCACGGAGTCCACCCTTCCCCACTGTGACATCGCCGCTCCCCACGGCAACCAAAGAAAAGTGAATGGGAAATAAACCTTTCCAAGGGGAAATGCTTCAACAGAAGTTGAAACCATCCAAAGCATCGCAGGAGGTCAACACTGAGAGGTTGCATTGGAGGAGTGGTCTGAGTGAATGCATGAGGGGGGGAAGCTCATGCACAGGGAATGTTCGTGCTGTGACCCCTGGGCTGAAGGAGGAAGCCACAGCAGTGATGGATACTTGCTCACTTTAATGCATGGATCTGCAGAAAAGAGGGCATAGAACTACATCCTGAAGGGCAGATGTTCCCTCTGCTCAGTGCAGCCAGCTCACCGCAGGGCAAAGGAAGCAATGCAGCTCAATAGTAGCACTCTGATTCTACAACAAACCAAAAACAACTGCATTGACTATGCATTAAAACACAAAGAAAAGCCTTTTGGTGGCACTTTTTGTAAACAGACACATCCCACTCTCATTCTAACCCCAAAGCAGGAGCCATCCTGCAGCCACCCCACAGAATTCCAGGGAGCACATTGGCTGTAGATAACACTTCCAAAAAGCAATTGTTTTGTCTTAATTTGTCTGAATTAAAATCCCAACAGCAAACGAACCACTCCGAAGCTTTGCTCCTTCTCTCAGACCCGAGCAAAGAAAACACTCTTCTAGAGCGAAAAAAAAAAAAGTGAACCCGCCGCGGGAACACGGTGACCCCGACGTGATTCGAACACGCAGCCTTCTGATCTGGAGTCAGACGCGCTACCGTTGCGCCACGAGGTCCCGGAAAGCCGACTCTCCGCCTGCCCCCAAGAGCCTACGCTCCACCCCGCGCATGCGCACAACACTAAATTTTCAACCCCTCCCCCCCCACCCACCCCTTCCGTGGCTCTCCCGCTATCGGAAAGACCCCAAAGGGCTCCGTTGCCACCCCTCGGAGGCTCAGCGCCTCTCCTCCCGAAGACTGCCCCCAGAACCGCTAACTCCCATTTCTCCCCGAACCACGCACGGCCACTGAACGCATTTCAAGCCGCCCGCCCGCCCGCCTGGCCACGCCCCCTCGGGCTGTACCACCGCCGGGGGAGGAGCCGCCCCGCACCACCGGGCAGAGACCACGTGACCCCTCCCCTCCCCTGGATACCCTGCCTTGGTCTGTCCCAACGCCGGCGCAGCAGATTTAAAGGGGCCGCGCACCGAAAAAGAGAGCGCTATTCTAAGCGCGAGGCTGCGTGCTCCTGCTTCTCTCCCAACGAACCCGCTGCCCTTCAAACCCCCGGATCTGGGCCGCACGTGCACACCCGAAATGAAGCCCATCGTTCAGAAGGGGATGATAAAACCACTTTATTGCAACAGTCGCCAAGGCTGCCTTTGGTTGTGCTCGCGCAGCCGGGCTGGGAAAGTGCTGGCTTCAAGTGCAGGAATTGGGGTTGTACAAATGAGCATAAACACGTGCAGTTCCAGGAGCAAAACTCAACAGTAAAGGGATGGGATGGAGTGGTAAAGGGGAGGGCAAGGGAGAGGAGGGGAGGGGAAGGGAGAGGAAGGGAGGGGAGGGAGGAGAACAGAATAGAATAGAACAGAACAGAATAGAACAGAATAGAGTAGAACAGAATAGATCCGATCAACAGACCAGTCCTTCAGTGCAAACCACAGTCATGATGTGCATCTAGAATTCACAGTACAGTGCTGTCAGTCAGAGCCATCAGAGCAGAAGCCATTGGGATGTGTGTTTTTCCATCTCCTGGTGTGCTCTGTGTGGGAACGGTCCCCATCTCTGCTTGGAGGGGCATTGCCCATTGCATCCCATGCATTTCCCCATCGCTGCCAGGTGGTCGGATTCCAAAACTTTTTTCATTTGTATGAAGAAGGCTGAAAACCAACTCAGGGAAGGACAAGGTTTGTCGCATAGCAAAAACCCTGATCACCAAAGGTTGATAAAATCCACACTCTAGAAATTTGCATAAATAATTTGTCCAGATAGGAAATACAATAAGTACAAACCTGCTCTGTGCGTTGATATGTGTTTGCAAATGCCACGTTTATCTTCTCAAAGGGATGCACAGCTTTGCATTTGCCACGCATGGGGCTGACCTGGTCTTCTGTCTCTCCAAAGTAGAGAAAAGTCATTTGCTGGCATCATGAAAATAGACTAAAAATAGCTGGTTTCTATGGCTACTGAGGCTGGGAGACTCCTGAGGAACAAGTCTGGGTAGGTCCCTTTCGTGATGAAATCCAGGCAGTGGGATAAAAGGGAAGGACAATAAAAAGAGGTTGAATGCTTTGATCCTCCATAGACACTGCAGAGCTCTCCATGCGAGTGCAGCAACTGCAGCGATCAGTGCAGGTTTATTGGGGGGGAATCAGGGAATTGTACAGGATCTGACAAAACACCTCACAGATGCACTCAGGAATGGGGTTTTCTCCCTTCTCTTCTCCCCCCCCCCCCTTCATAAAAGCTGCACCAGGAGGTGCCATGTGGGCAGTGCTTGGGTTTGCTGGAAGGGGCTGAGCTATGGTCCATCCATCCCCAAAGTCTGAGTGCAATGGGGACCCTCCTTCTGCACCCACCCCAGCTTGGATGTTTTCCCTGGTGTAAATAGGATTAAAGGAGGATTATTGCTGGTGGGAAGAAATGCATTTTTCAGGAGTGCTGCGTTCCTCTTCTTAAGGAGCAATGGTAAAAAGAAAAGGAAAAAAAGCCCCAAACCTGAAAAGCCACAGCATAGATGTCATGCAGTGTGCACAGAGCCAACGTGCAATGGAAAGCACGATTTGCATCTTGCACTTTGTCCCCTTTGCATGACTGGGAGCTGCTCAGCACCCAGCAGCCAACTCATGGGTGGTTCAGCAGCCTCAGCTTTGGGCACCCTGAGGGTGGGAAAGTCTTGGAAAAGTGTTTGGGTATCACTGGAGGGACACCCAGAGCGTGCACTGCCTCCAACGTGAGTAGGATGTAGCTGCTGCGGTGCAGCCACTTCTGGAGGGGAGAAGCAAAAGCAGTGTGGATGAGCCAGAGGCGGTGTGTGTGTGTGTCTGTCGCTCGGGAGAGCAAGAGGAAATCCTGAACAAGAAGCAAAATCCCAGCTTATAAAAACGCCTGGGGTTTTTTGTGCAAATGTGGGGGAGAGAGAAAGAGAGGCAGGGAGAGCGTTTCTCTTCTGAAGAGAGCTGTCAGCTCCCAGCCCTCGCAGTCTCAGAAGCATCCCAGCCTTGTTAAAATGCTGCCAATGGAAAAAAAAAAACAAATAAAATAAAATAAAATAAAAGAGAAAAAAAAAGCCTCACAACTTTACTTTGACCTCTGCAGGATTGTCAGGTGGCAGCAGGAAGAGTGCAGCATCCTGGCAGGTTGGCTACGGAGAGCGGCAGGCTGAGCCTGGTGGGAAACAATACGCAGCTGAAAGGACCTTCACCATAAATCTGGAGGTCAAGGCATGATGATGGGGGAATCAAAAAGCACCACGAGCCGTTTATGAGCACAATAGAGGTCAATCCAGGAGCAAACCATTTTGCTCGGAGCCACGGTGGAAAGCATATTGTTGCTCTGAGAGCTCCATCCGTGCAGGGAGGTGGGAAGTTCACTGTAAAAATAACTGTAGCTCAGGCTCCTGAGCATTCAGGCTGCACCTGCTTGATTTATTGTGTTTTCACATGCACATGTAATGGGTGTAGGTGAGCATCTGCCTGTCTTGCTTTCAAATCCTACATTCATTCATTGGAGATGGGAGTACTAGAGACATAGGGACAGCCCAAGCAGGCACAGAGCTGCCAGTGTGCAACCACGGTGTGCTCCTGAGCAACCACAGAGCTGCTGCACACAGCCAGTGTGCAACGTGGTGGTGTGCACCATGCAGGCGTGCATGGCACGAGCAGTGTTTGCATAGTGTGTGCACAGAGCAGAGTGTGCTGGGCATGCACCGTGTGCAGTGTGTGCAGCATGCATATGCCATGGAGAGCATGCACAGTGAGTGCATAGCATGAGTGCAGAGCCTGCAGCAGAGTTCTCAGCTCATCTCTTAGCACCCAGGAGCCCTCAGAGCACTCCCTCCATGCACAGAATCCTTTGCAGGGATGCTCTCTGTGCATCCAGCTTGAGACAGAGCCTCGGAGCAGCTGTTAGCTGCACATCCTCTGCTGCCAAACTGTGATGGATCTGCAGTCTAAGAGGTTTAGCAGTGAGGGTTTTGAGGTCACGAACCTCTCCCGCAACCCACAGCAATATTTTAGCCTCTGTGAAACCTGACTGAGCAAAAGCTGCCCATCATCTCCCTGAATCTCACCCTGCTGCCAAAAGAGCCCTGAGAGGGGTCATCACCCCCCATCTTCACTAGGGGGAACCAACTGTGTGCCTCCAGGAGTGGGGCACCAACAGCTGAACCCGAAGGTGGGGGTATCAGCATTAACCTTGGTGTCTTCAGCTTCCCTGGGAGCCTCTGTGTGCACTGCAAAGTAAAAGGCTGCTGCAGCCTCAGAGCTCCCAGAGGACACATTACAGCCTGCATTAACCACAGCATTTCCCACTGATCTGTGCTTGCCAGGCTGAAATCTGCTGAGCTCCACGGTGATGAAGGCAGGGACACCTGGCCAACACCCAGAGCCCAGCAGGGAATCACCCAGTTCACATCACCTGAGCTCAGAGAGGGGAGAAACAAACTGCCATCTGAGTGCCCCCAACCCTGGGGTAGGTTCACAAGGACCAGGCATTGCTGCCATCCCACAGCCAGCATCCATCCACTGCTTCCCACTGCAGCCCACAGGCACGCAGCAGCGGAGAGGATTTAGAGCTCCTCAGCTGCACCTTCTGTTCTTGGCACTTCTGGCTGCTTTTTGTCCTAAATCCTTCAGATGAGAAAATAAAATACTGGCTGTGTTGGTTCTGGGTGTTGGCTGAGCCAACAGATCTCCATAGGGCAGCTGTCACTGGTGGCTACAGCTCTGTTTGTCATGTGCAAATGTGCTCTGAGAGCCCTGGGAAAGTCGAGCTGCTTAACAAGGGGGGGGGAATTGCTCTCCAAGTGTGCTCAGCCCCCTCCGTGGGAGCTCCCAGGGGGTGTCAGGCTGCTGCAGTCCATTCCCTCTGCTCCAGAGACTTGTCCCCCAATTATTTGCCCTTCCCCACAAGCTGTCCCTCCTGCTTTTCTCAATTCTTGGCCATGGCGGCACCGAGGCTCCAGTGTCTGAAATGAGATCTCGAATTTTGGGTATAAATGGGACCAAGGATGCAGGCTGGAACCCGCCCCAGCATCGTGATACCGAGACCTCAGCAATGTCCCCAGATCTGTGGGGACCCTCACCAGGGGTCGGCTGCTGGAGAACATCTGTAGGACAGTCCCTGAAAGGCACAGAATGTGGGGAGCTCCTGTATGGCTTTAACCATAGGTAGGAAGGATGCACAGAGAGGGTGGAGGGGAAATGGGGACCCAGGGGACCTCAGGAACAGCCACACAGTGCCAGGCGAAGGCAGTGGGAGCAGGAGCAGCCCCAGGGGTGAGCATCTCCTGCCTGGCACCCGTGAGCATCGCTTTCAGCCTCCTGTGATTGGGTTCTCCATATAGAGAAGGGAAACAGCAGATGGAAGAACTTAAGGATTTCTGCTCTGGAGGACACGGTTGTGCCAGAAATGTCCCTGCAGAGAGCCCCCAGTGACACCACCTGGAGGCTGTTGGCCTTTGTGCCAACCATGAACCGGCTCCTGTTGGACTGCGTTGCTCAGTGGCACAGGAATGAATGCCACCACCACTGTGTCCCCTGCACGAGCCTGGCTGTGTGCTTGGTGACCCCAACAGGCTCTGCTGTGCTGCAGCTACAGAGCCAGGCATGGCTGAGAGGTGGAGATTGGCTTCTTGCAGTCCCAGACATTTGCTCGAGAAAAACTTAATAAATAATAATTTAAAAAAATACATTAAAAATACAGCTTGCTTGTATGTTCAGCCAATTCTGCAGCCGTGAGAGCACTTACCACCCTGAGGCAGCCCACCCCCCAGCACTATTAATCCATGCAGGACATGGGCTGGCTCTGGATTTCGGAAACCCTTTTAGGGTTTGTCTGCAGAGCAGTGCTGGGGTGAGGGCAGGGCGGTGGGGAATCCTCCTCTGACTGCAGCTGTTGGGGTGCAGAGGGCTCAGTGCATGTGGCAGGATGGCTGCAGCACCCCAGTATTGTCTGCAACGCGGGCTGGTGCCTCCCAGTTTGAGCATTCCCATGTTTCAGCTCCCTCCTGGCCAGGCAAATGTCTGCAGAGAGAAAATGAGCAGAGCTGCAGGCTGGGTGCATTAGGGCAGATGGAGCTCTCAGCCCCATGCTGAGCCCCCCAACACTCTCTGCCCCACACACCTCTGCAGCACAGGGATCCCTATAGAGGCGACAGGAGAGGGGACAGCCAATGTCCCCCAGCAGCTCCGATGTCCCACTCCTGTCCCAGTCGCTCACACCGCCGTCTCCTGCTCTGCACTGGGTTCCTCCTTCTTCCTCTTCATCTTGCAGAAGCCATGCAGCCCGCAGAAGCAAGCGAAAGTGAATTGGGGCATCACCTGGAGCATCCAAGGGGACCTGGATGGGAACAGGGAGAAGGGAGAGAAATCAGGGCAGCTCCGACAGCACGAGCAGACAGGTCCCTAAAATCCTCAAAGTGGAAAACCTCCCACTGGCACAACTCTCTGCCAGTGGAAAATGATGGGATGAAAGCCAACCTCAGCCCCTATGTAGAACTGGGGGCAATCAGGACAGATGTGAGGACAGCTTGCAGTGCCTGGTGCTGGTTCGTAGCCCCCCCTTGGACAAGGAGCCTGGGACCCTTTTGATAGCACAGCACCACAGGCACAGCACCATGGGGCACAGCTGAGAGCGTTGTCCCCTCACTCAGTGTCCATTTGAAGCAGAGAAAATGATGCCCCAAAGCACAGCCCTAATGATGGCCCAACAGCTGCAAAACGCGGCGATGCAAACGAAAGGCTGCTTGGCTTAAGAAAAAATAAAGCAACACCAACTCCCAGAAATGCTGTCTGCAGCAAAACCTTTCTCTTCTCCCTGCTTTCCTCTGCAGCACTTGCACAGCTCGCAGGTGATCAGCCCTACGCCTGCCCACCCCACATCACCTCCCAGCCCCACACAGACAAGGTAACACACAGAGCTTCAGTTTATCCCACCTGTGAAACGGGCACAAAGTTATCAAAGAGCCACGTGGGAATCTCAGTGTATGAAATACTTTTGCATCCAGACCCACAGCTCCAACAAGGAGCAAATTCTACTTCTGTCACTGCCCCCTCCCCAGCTGTTGCCAACCAGCTGGGTACCTGCTGAGCAGCCCCATGAAATACTGCTACCTCTGGAGCTCGCAAATAATGACAACAGGCTCTTCAATGAGTCTCTCTCTGGCTCTGAATGCCTCTCAGCATAGCCGTGGGTCCCTGTGCCTCTCTTTGTGCTGCTGCTTTTTGTTAGGAGCCCAAGAATGGGGATCTGGGAGGGAAGGGCTGGAGCTGAGGGCCATGGGGATGGTGGAATCCCTGGGTTGGGGCACGCAGTCCTGATCCCTGTGCACCATCAGATCCTTGCACAGCTCATGCCACACCATGATGATGCCATGTCCAACATTCTGTTACTCATCAAGAGAATGGGGCTGTGCAGGATGTCCTGAGCACTGCTTGGTCCCCTCATGCCCACTCTCACTGCCCCATGTCACTGCATCCCAGTGCCACCCACATCACAGTGCCACCCTTATCCCTGTGCCACCCATGTCCCTGTGCCACCAATATCCCTGTGCCACCCATATCCAAGTGCCACTGACATCCCAGTGCCACCCCTATTCCTGTGCCACCCATGTCCCTCTGCCACCCACATCCCAGTGCCACCCCTATTCCTGTGCCACCCATATCCCTGTGCCACCCATGTCCATGTGCCTCCTATGTCCATGTGCCACCCATATCCCAGTGCCACCCACATCCCAGTGCCACCCATATCCCAGTGCCACCCACATCCCTGTGCCACCCCTATTCCTGTGCCACCCATGTCCCTCTGCCACCCACATCCCTGTGCCACCCACGTCCCCACACTGCAAACACAAAGCATCTGGGGGGTCGGGCTGCCAGGACCCCCACACCCAGAAGGGACCCATTGACAGATTCGGAGGAGTTTGTAACACTGAGGCTTTTCAGGCTGACCCTCTGCCTCCCATTCAGGCAGCAGACAATGATGAATGAGCCCCAGAGAATAGAGGCAGCCCAGCTGAGGCTGGCGCTCCTGTTCTTCTTGAAAAGGTGGAAAAAGGATCCTGAAGGAGCAAGGAATAATTAAAAAAATAAATGAACCAGCTTGGGCAGCAATGACAGAAACCCTGCTTGATTTGCAAGGGCCGGGCATGCTTCACAGCCCCACGCTGCCCTTTCTATTCAAGGGAGAAGATCCTTTGGATAAAACTCCGCTGCAGCAGAGAAAATGCGAGGAGCATTAAAAATGTAAAGCTGGAGAATTCTCTTTAGTCAACTGCATAACCCCAGGCCGTGTTTGTCACTGTCACGGTGATGAATTGGGAGCTGTCTGGAATCAGCATGCTCACTTTAATAATGTCACTTTCCTCCAGCCCTAAAAAATGTCTTTGCGAAGCAGCTGGACAGAGCCTGTCCCTTAGCAATGCAATTACCAGCCTGGGCTTTGCTTTGCATCCATGCAATGCTCACAGTGCACCGAAATCTCTGCTCCTCCTCCTCCTCCCCGTGCAGGGGTTTGTGATGAGGGTGCACAGCGTGCACAAAGGGAGGCAGAGCAGCGGCATCTCACCCCAACGCTGCTTTCCTACCCCACCCCGGCTTTGCTTTGCTTTGCTGCTTTTATTTTTGGGGGAGAAACGCAATCGAGTGAACATTGGGTTGGAAAGAAACCGGCGTTAAGTTTTGCATTTTAAACTCTGGGTTTCAAGAGCCGCCAGCGTGTCGGGTTTTTTTGTCTTGTTTTGTTTCTTTTTCCTGGGAAATGGGATCATTTGCAATGGAAATGGGTCTCTTTTATTTTATTTAGTTTCGGGTTGTTTTTTTTTTTTTTTTTCTTTTCTCGTTTGTTGTTGTTGTCGTTTCGGAGGAACCGAACGGAATTCAATCGTTTGTAATGAAAAGTAGAGAAGCTCCCAGCAATTTGATTCCGGTTTGCCTTTCACTGCACCTCTGCAGCTGGGAGAGCTGGGTGTAACGGATGCTATAGGGAACACAGGGACTTCGGAGGGCTTTGTGGGTCACAACCCCAGAGCTGCTCTGAGCATCGCAGCACCATACAGTGCCCCCTAAGCACGGCACCCCATGGTTCCCACGCAGCACCCATCACACAAACCCCTTCCCCCTCTCCTTGCAGCCACAGCATCCACCCAAATTGGTCCTTATTTCCAAGCCATCATTTCCTAGCATCACTTTCACCCCCCCCCTCCTCCTTTTACAAAGCACGGGCATCACGCTGCTCACAGCCCAGCCTAAGACAAAGCCAATTTCAAAGCAGCCTCTCTAATGAGCCGGCAGCGCGTTGGAAACCCGAGACCGGGGGGATGAAACCGGCCAGAAAAGAAGCGCTGTCCCTTTAAGGAGAGATAATGAACGGCCAGGCTGTTGCTTGGCATGTTTGCAGAGAAGCGCTAATTAAAACATCGCTTCTGTAAAGTATGCTGATCCCATTGATTCTTCCCCCCACACAGTTAATTTGCTGCTAGGAAGGCAAAGTCGCAAGGGCCCTCATTATAAAAATTTCACTGGCTGCAGCTAATGGTTGTAATTAATAGGTGCAATAAATTCCAAATGGGCAGCCGGGGTGTTCATTAGCTGCGGGCTGACTCAGCACCGGTGGCCTCACAGTTACTAAATAATCCATTTCCAGCAGCCGGGAGGAGGAAGGCGCCCCATGGCACATCCAGAATCACACAGAATCACAGGATGGCCAAGGTTGGAAGGGACCTCGAGGATCACGAAGCTCCGACCCCCTCCCACACGCAGGGCCACCAACATCCACATTTCAGAGCAGCCCAGGCTGCCCAGGGCCCCATCCAACCTGGCCTTGAGCACCTCCAGGGATGCACAGGGCATCACAGCCTCTCTGGGCAGCTGTTCCAGCACCTCACCACCCTCACAGCACAGAACTTCCCCCTGACATCCAACCTCAATCTGCCCTCCCTCAACTTCAAACCATTTCCCCTTGTCCTGCAGTTATCAACCCTTTCAAAGAGTTGGAGCAGAGTTGGAGAAATAATTCCCAGCAAGGCGAGGATCCACTTCTTTTTGTCTCATTTGGGAAATGCCCATGAAATCCCCCTCCACCCCAGTGTCTCTACTAGCAAAGCAGGGCAGGGTTTCCCAAAAGTGCATCGATGCTACTTGCAGCCAGACACAGTGCAGCAACTCCCAGAGCCATGCATGCCCATGCAAAAAGCAGCTCTCACTGATGTGCTGCAGCTCTGCTGCCAGAGCTGTGGGTTGTGGCATGCTCAGAGGTGTGCTGGCAGTGCACACCCAGGCTCCTTGGCCCCCTGCTCCACGCTGAGCATCGTCCTCTATGGGACGTCCACGAGTTTGGATGCATCACAGCTCTGATTACAAAACAACGGCTTTGTGGTTCGTTATCATCTGGCTGTAATTAAAGCATTCATTGTTGGCACTCCTTCTTCTGGTTATCTCTCAGGATTGATATCCACGGGGCTGGGTAAGCCACTGAGAAGCTGCTGCTGTTTGTGCTGCTCTCCCAGCACAGCGTTACACTGAGACCTGGGCACGAGGTGGCCCCTGCCATGCGTGGAGCCAAACTTAGGGCTGGTGACACCAGGAAGGACAGCCAGGGTGACACTGCAGCTCCAGGCACAGCAGCACAGCACACAGCTGCAGTCATTCCTCCCCGCAGGGCAGCACACAACAAGCCCCAGCCTTGCCCAGGGAGGACGGCGGATGCCTCACTCTAAGCAGTGGTTATTATCTGTAATTAGCAACGTGTCCTGCTCTGCACGCTCGCTCCTGGGAGCTCAGGAAGGCTCCAGCAGTTTTCTTTGCTGGTGAAAGAGAACTGCCCAGCAGCAGCCTGCAGCTGCTCCTCTTCTCTGGAGCATGGATGGAATTTTGCTCAGCACCTTTTGAAAAAGAGGTGCATACCCACATTGTCTGAGACGCTTTGAAAACGCCAACCTGGCCTCCTGTTTTATTTAACACCATGAATGTTTTATAAGCACAGCAGCAGAGGGGCTTTGCTTTGCTGCTCGGTGCTCTCTGGAGCCGATCTGCACAGCGAAGGGAGGCTCTGAGCTGAGACTCTTCACAGACCCAAATGGGAGAACTGAACTCCAAAATTCGGGTGAGCAATACCAGCAATGACCCTGTGGGACTGCTGCAGCCAGCCGGGATGTGGCGCTCACTGGGGACACAGAGGCCACAGTATGGTTGAGCTGAGAGCTCACCTGGTGCTGGCAGCATCTCCTCTGCACAATGGACCCCAGCCAGGGCTCCCTGCCAAGGCTTTTTGCACAGTGAAGTTTGCACAGAAACACTTGTCCTGAGCACGTCCCGTCCCCCCCCCTCACCTCCTGCATGCCC